GACTTTTAACATTTTTTCGTTTATACATGAAAAAAAAATTTTGGAAGAAATAATTTCGCGAATAAGTAGGTTTGTTATTATCTTTTCGGTCAGTCCTTTATCTGTATCGATTGCAGATCGTACCAAGGAGTTTTTGAGTTTTATTTAAAATCACCTAGTACACTATTTATTTTGTTTTACTTTTCATCCTACCAATAAAAACGGTATTCCCGATGAATTGACGGTTAATCATATGGATGCTTTGTTCAACCGTATCGTTGCTGCGTTCAGGTACTCGGTCGATCGTAGGTCAGCCTGTTAATTAAATGGCGCCATTCATTTAAAGGGTTAGCCGACCAATTGGCCGGATGATTAAACCATTTGACTGCGACATATCTATGTTCTAAGATTTAGCCACTTTATTCAATAATCTTTACAAAAGTGTATTTAAAATTGTGTCAGTCTTTTGAGGCTTATTTAAGTGGGCAATATTGAATTCTTTTCAAAATAAATATTCTTATCGTCAAAGAAATATAATGTAAATAAAAATTGATTTTTTTACCTCAAATTGATTAGATGTGTAGTTAAGATTTTACAACGGTGTTTTTGAGAAAAAAAAAATAAAACACATTGCCAGTTTTCCGGATATGTATGTATTACGAATTAACAGCTTTTTTTCATTTATTTGATTAATGATATATTTTAAAGTCGTTATAATTATAATGATTACATTATAACAACAACTACAAAACTACTACTACTTTAAAAATATTACATTTATAAAAAACAATAATGTTTTTGTAATAAATATATTAAACTTGGCGATGGTCAAAGTAACGTTTATTAACAAGGCAAGATTTGCAAGATTTTTTCCGGAGCACAGCAGTGCAGGTCTAAGTAGAGTTGGAGAAGGAGGAAAAAGATTAGCCGGACGAAACTGCAAATTAGTGAATAAGTACTGAGAATCGTCAATGAATCGGAGGCGACAACCTATCGCGTATCTAAATTGACTTCGATTTGGTTAACATTGGATTCGATCGGAATGCCCTCCACGTTCAATACTGTATAATAATCTATGTGTGTTTATTCAAATACACTCTACATTCAATACAGTAATGTGCGATGACAGCATAAAGATTAAGGAATATTGAACTTTATTTTGCTGCAGTAAGGCCTAAATGTATTTTTAGTGATGTGGGGAGTACCATCGAATAAATAAGTGTTAATGGAAATCAGTCTTAATTTTGATCCAAGACAAATTTTTCGGAACTGTTTGCGGGGTGTGAGGGAACATTTTTACCTACAACCGGAGGTAAAAGCAGGTCTTAACTAATGTCTAATAAATCACAATATTTTTGAATTCCATAATCCTATGCTCTTTGGCGCATTGCATACTTATTATTTTTTAAAGCGTTAAACTCGATTTCCAAATCAAAACATTTTTTAATAACGTTTATTTACATTTAACTAAAGTATATTTTGTTCGATAACTTTTTGCCATCTTGTAGATAGGGACATTATCCCATAGCAATAGACATTTTGTGGCTTTTGGTCAAAAAACCGCGATAAGTCGTTTTGGCAGGCCTCTGCCATTCTGAATTCTGAAGAGAACTAAAGGGGTGGAAATCTGAAGTTGCAAGCTCAGGACTACATGGCGGATGCATTTATACCTCCCAGCCAAACTGTCTTCATTTTTGCTGAGTGACAAGATGTGTGTGAAATCCCTCCATACACACAGCATCCTCTTGTTGCGAGTTTACCCGGATTTCGCAAGTCTGTGAAGCCTGACCGACCTTTGACCACGACCTTTTTTCGCACGTTATTGTCATACGTGTTCCATTTTTTAGTACTAGTTAGCTTCTTCAAAAATAGGTTTCATTACGACGTTATAAAGAATCACAAATGAGTACATGGTTCATTAGTTTTTCAGTGAACTCTTGAGGTAAGCAAATATCCAACTTTATTATGTACCCAGATTTGTTCAAATGTCCTAAAATTGTTTTGTGGTCAATCCCCAGTTCTTCAGCTACGTCTTAACTACTGATATGTCACTCTTGCTTCACTTTTTCAAAAATGGCATCCATTTTATCCGTAATAGGGCGTCCCGCATTTAGCAGGATGTCTCGCTTTTCAGCCCTCTCAGGACCATTCCCGCCAGACCCCTGAGCGGGACGCCCAAAATCCCGCTTTTTCAGCCATACCGGTAATCACTATGTGAGTGAACGACTGCCGACTATGCATGCGAGGCGCGCGATCTCATAGAAAAGAAGTTCCTTTTATGTTATGTTTTTGTTTTTTGAGTTAAATGTAGTAGCGATTACACTTCCCGATTTCCTAAGTCCAATGCGGCATACATTGCGTTATACCAAGGTATGAGAATGGACAGTTGCAAACAAAAACGGCAATGTATGCCGAGCTAAAAGCGTTTCAAATAAAAATTTGAATGAGTTTCGATATTGTAAATGTTTTATTCTGTCCCGACTTTTTCACCCCAGTCCCGCTTTTTTTATGCTAATGTCCCGATATTTAGAAAAACGAATCTGGCAACGGTAGTCTATATACGTCATAATTTTTTTTCGAGGCTTGTGTTGTATTTTTTGTAATAAAATTTTAAAATGTATCGAATTTCTTCATAAGATTCACTCATTTTGACAATTATATTTGATTTCGGAGTTATTTTCTTTAAAATTTAAAGTTTTTAATGATACCGAAAACAGCCAGATACAAATGGTATAGCCAGAAAGATTTTATAAGAAGTTTATGCATACTATATGCGTAAAGACTCTTCCCCCAACCTAATATATATACATAAGTATATATATATTTATTTTTTCCAGACACTCCACTGAGCTACCACTAGAACTTTGTCACGTAATTGCCTAATTACTTCGTTAGACGTTTTGATGTATATGTATTCATCACTTGGACATTCTTTGTGTACATTTCCATAATCAAATATGATTGTGAGTCGGGAGTCTAACATTCATAAGGTGTCGGTTTCTTTTTTTTTTTTTAAAACTAGTGATTTCTAATTTATTTGCCACTAATTTCTTTGGCAAATTGCGCCAAAGAAATTAGATTTATACAAACAAATTAGAAAAATTACTAATACCACTAAGTTAACAACACAAATAGATGGATATGAAGTAGTAAAGTTATTATTAAATATCTAGAGCAGCTAGAGCTTATTTTGAAGAAACCTGTTTTATTATATATGAATTCTATGTGTTCTTTTCTAAGTTCATTGGTTATTTTCCAAGATCTTTGGTAATTTTCTAAGTTCTTTCTTTGGTCACTTTTCTAATTTTTTTGGACGAAATATAATTTCTTCAGGCTATATCTAATTTCTATGGTCGAAAATATTTTGAAATCTCTATCTTATATTCTCCTAATTCCTATATTATATGATCTAGGAAGGAGCCTATTACAAAATATTATAGGTTTTAAAATGGTGTATAATGTATGTTGTTGATTTTTTTTTTTATATATTCGCCGTAAAGATGGTTACTTTTGAGAATCACCCTTTTAATTTTCTAAGAACTTTCAGTTTGACCATCATATGCCCACAACTAAGTTTGCCTTCTAAGTTTCCCACAACTAAGTTTATGCAACTTTATATGTATTTCTTGGAACAACTACGCAGTGACGAGCCGCGGTAGATTTAACTCGCCATCTCATTCGCACAAAACCCATAAGCATACTGCCTCACGCTCTCCTACAGCTACCCTACATGCTTGTCTGGCAAAGGGTTGGAACTATCAAAAGTGTCTGGCTAGTGAGGAAACATCATCTACTTATTACCTAAGTATTATATAGAAAAATCAGCTTTTATACTATAACGTAAGTAAAATTATAATTTGATGACCATAAACCCTTATGGTCATGAATCTGGCAAGGGGTTGCCATTATGTTAAGTGTCTGGCAATGAATAAAGTGATTTTTAATAATATTCTGAAGATAATACTTAAAGATTGCACTTTATTATTTGACGTATATAGATCGGCATTTTACACACCTTTAGTACCGTTTACCTGCCAAAGCCACTATAACCCAAACTCCATAATGGTCCATCGTTCTTACCTGTGTTGGGAGCATCCGCTGACAAACTTTCAGCTTTTATAAAATAGCGTAGGTCTGGGGTTCACGGGCTCTTAGACTTTTCCAGCGTCTGTGGTATAAGGCGCTGGAAATCCACTTCTGAGGCATATCTATGATGCTTGGGAAGATAAACAAGATGCTATCGGCATTTTTGCGATCTGTCAAAAGCATTCAACCGTCATTTTAGAGCCCGTGGTGAAACTTCCGTCTGGTACGTTATTTTACAATAAGGATTGGGTTTTTCAGCAAGACTCGGCACCATCGCATAAGGCAAAAAGCACCCAAGCTTATTTGAGGGAGAATGTATCGGCCTTCATCGCGATGAACGTGTGGCCCTCCTACACCCTGATCTCTTTTTATTCTTTATGGGCTGAATTAGAGATCAGAGCCTGCCGAAAGTTCCACCCTAACTTGTAGTCACTGAAGCGAACCCTCGTTCGAAAAGCAAATCGACTTTTGCTAGAAAAGATTCATGCCGCCATTGATGACTGGCCAAATCGTCTAAGGGCCTGTATTAAAAACAAGGGCGGTCATTTTGAATAATATATATATATATTTTTTTTTTTTTTAATTCTTACAACATTGTCTGAGGTTCGTCTACAATATCAATATTTCGCATCAAGCAACAAATAGTTTACAATTTATATACATACTTGTTCAATAATATTCTAAAATTTTTATATTAAATAAAGAACGCAATTAAATATTTTATTGTTGATTATTATTTATTTAATGGTTACTGAGAATTTTAGAAATATAAGTTATAACTTTTATTTCGTCTCAAAACTTATGAACACAGGAGGTATACATTCCTAATAGCAAAATATTGTATGTCAATTAAGTTTTTATTATTTAATAAACCAAACGATGTATTGTAAAGATTACCTGGCTGTTATAATATTTTTTTTTCTTTGTTGTCGCAGGACAAACACGATGGGGCCCTGGAGATAGTTGAAACAATAAAGTAAGTATGCATTAGATACACTTATACTCCATTCATTATAGCATTAGACAGAAGTTAAATAAGGTTCTTTTTATAGTATACTTTGTGACAAAATATCAATAATCATGTTACTCTTAAGACTAACGGCTAATTTGCTACATATCCACTTAAATACCAGCTGCTATTCTTAACTGTTGTCATTTAAGCTATCTATTAAACAAATTTATGAGTATTTGACCAAATTAAATGATTTAATAACTATTACAATAAAAAGTGTGCATCTTAAAGAACCTAAAGAAGCAGGATTGGATAGTTTCGGCACGATTCTCATGTCACTATAACTCTACCAAATTTAAAACATTGCCTAATCCCTTCAAACGTTTCGGCAATACAGATTTTTTTTATTTTGTCAGACTATGATGTATTCATATTTGTAAAACACATAATCTGGTCATTGTCATCCATTGTGAATGCTACTGCCTTTCTTGTTGCTTTGCCGTTTTCCGTGATTAGAGTTGTTTTTGTTTTATTTTTGTTTTGTTATAGTTTTGTTTTTGTTGTGAAGTTTTGTTAAATATAGAAGATATCGGTACAGGGCCGAGTGGCCTACAACAATTACGCTCTAAGCCCCTATACCTGCCCTCAACCTTTGACATTTCAGGAAGATTTTCCAATGTCTTCATCAATAGTCTAATATAACTAATGTCGGAATAAATGTTATAAAAGTTATAATAAAAAAAACATTTTGTTTACCTTTTTTTTCCTGGGCATAGATATCTATTACTAAATTCTATTCTCATTATATACATTTTACAATTATAATTTATGAAAACAACAGATAGATAGTTTTAGTTCCATGTTGGCTTGAGAGTACAAGATGAATTAAGAAAATGTTGGGCTCATCTTTATCTCGAGGTATCGTAAAAAATATAAAATTGCCCAGCTTTTTCAGACTACCTAACGTTTAAAGTTTCAACAAAACTATAATATACATTTTTTAAATTTATCTGGAAAATAAAATGTTCTGCACTGCTGCATCTATGACCCTCTTTTTTCTAATGTTATAATGAATGGAGTATAGATGATAATAGAAAGAATTTAGTAAGTATCAGTCAGTTGCACAAACATCCATTACGGTTTAATGATGCCTTTAAGATCTAATAAATTTTAAATTTGTGTAGGTAATGTAAACTAAAGATAATTTTAATGGACGGTTGTGCAACTGGCTGTATGGTTAAGATTTTTTTTTTACTTATACTCGAGAGAGACTACTAAGAGAGACTACCCGAGTTAAAATGTGATTCCTTGATGTTGAAAACAAAGTTTTGAAAAAAAAAAAACATTTAATTGCCGTTGACTCCTGCCCCCTTACTCTCGAACGCAATCGCGACCGATCGACATTGCAATTGTGCCGCTACGCGCGTTTGATTGGCTCACTAGCATACTCTGGCGCTAGTGTACCCAATCAAGAGTATAGAACGACACAATTGCAATGTCGATCGGTCGCGATTGCGTTGGAGAGTAAGGGGGCTGGTATCAGACCCTTAAGGTGGCCATTTGCGGTCACGCCATCGTGCCAAATGGTGTATTATCAGTCCAAATACTTATTGTCAATGAAAAGCAAGAGGTCGAGAACGCGTACATACTTGTTACTTTAAAATTAAGAGATGCTTAATAGTAATGTATAATAACGTATAATAAATAAATTTAAAAGTAATTATACCTCCTTTATGATTTACGCTTAACATAACAAAGCTTTTGCTTATGAAAATTACGAAAGCATTTTTTCTCCAAAATGCAATTCATTGCCTGTATAAAATATAAATTTCTAGCTGTGGCCACGACTTCATCCGCATGGAATAGTGACTTTCGACAGCATTTTTAAGGTTCCGTACCCAAAGGGTTAAACGACAACCTTATTACTAAGATTTCGTTGTCTGTCTGTCTGTCACCAGGCTGTAATATCAAGAACCGTGAAAATTTAGACAACGGAATTTTTCACAGATGATTTATTTCTGATGGCGCTTCAACAATAAAAGAATAAAATAAATATTTAAGGGGTTTCCCATACTACAAACGTGATTTGTTTTGCTGTTACCAGGGCGGTAGTTAGATGAGATTTTCACAGATGGTGTAGGTCTGTTGCCGCTATAACAACAAATATTAAAAAACAGAATAAAATAAATATTTAAGTGGCTCCCATACAACAAACTTAATGTTTTTGTTCGTTTTATTTACGGAACCGATCATGCTCGAGTTGACTCGCACTTGGCCGCTTTTTAGGCTAATGATTTTGAGAATAAAACGTGTATTCATTAAAAGAAGCTATTTACAGTAATTCATGTAATTTAAGCACACAAAATAAATTAATGTTCAACTATTTTATTTAGTAGTAGATCAGAACCTCTGTAGATTTTATAACTATTTGAACGTAAGCAAAGAAAAGTATTAAAATTAGTTTGGAAAGCGAAAAAAAGTATATATATATATATATATATATATATATATATATATATATATATATATATATATATATATATAACGCAAAGATTATGGAAACATAAATACTCTAACCAACTACTAAGGGCCAGTTTTTTGATCCGAAGTCAAATATCATTTCACCATTTGTTAACTTGACTATAGTTAAAACATTAACAAGTTGTCAACTCGCTATTTCGTTTTTTGATGCCAAATTAAACCATAGCCAAATTTAACCACTGGCCAATTTTTTGCCAGCACAATGAGTCGTTTTTTCGCTGTACATTGCATGGGTAATTTTTTTCTGGGTGACAACACTAACGGTTTGAATGAACGGAGAGAACTATATACCATTTTTGACATTAGGATTTTGTTCCAAATATCAAATAGACGAAAGAAATCTATAGATTATCAAACAGTGTGGATGTTTATAGTTGTTCTGTTGTGTGCACTATGTGTTATTTTTCAGGAAATATAAGGCAATTTCTTTAATAATGTTAGAAAGCAACAAAGATATTTTTTTTTCCAGTTATTTTAAACTTAACTTTTTTATAAAAAGCATATATTTGTTTTTTGTTTATCTGATCTGATACGTGAAAAAAATATAGTATTTAGTATCCAAGGTGGCAGATTGTAATGTTGGAAAATAAATCGAGGTCTATGTATTTTATGTACTGTAGGCATATTTATCTTTTGTATAGTCTATTCGTGGATTTTATAAGATTTTTAATAATTGAATAATTTGGCATATCTCCGTGGAAACAAGAAAAATTATTTTATATAGTACATATACTAAGGATGATCAAGATAATAATATAACTTATTTAAAATAACCCTATAACCCAAAAATTACAATGAATATTTTCCTATGAAATTGCATCATAAAACGAAATCCCAAAAATAGCTAATGTCCAAATTCACTATGAAATCATGTATACTCCATTCATTATAGCATTAGACAGAAGTGAAATAAGGTTCTTTTTATGGTATACTTTGTGACAAAATATCAATAATCATGTCACTTTTAAGAGTGACGGCTAATTTGCTACATATTCACTTAAATATCAGCTGCTTTACTTAACTGTTGTCATTTAAGTTAACTATTAAACAAATTTATGAGTATATGACTAACTTAAATGATTTAATAAGTATTACAATAAAAAGTGTCCATCGTAAAGAACCTAAAGAAGCAGGGTTGGATAGTTTCGGCACGATTCTCATGTCACTATAATTGCCTAACCCCTTCAATCGTTTCGGTAGTACAGCTTTTTAATTTTGTCAGACTATTATTTGTTCATAATTGTTAAAATCGTAATCTGGGATTGTCATCCATTGTGAATGCTACTGCCTTTCTTGTTTTTTAGCCGTTTTCCGTGATGTAATTGTTTTATTTTTGTTGTTAAGTTTTGGTAAATATGGACGATGCCGGTACAGGCCCGAGTGGCCTACAAAAATTACGCTCTAAGCCCCCATACCTACCCTCAAACTTTGACATTTCAGGGAGTATTTCCAATATCTTCATCAATAGTCTAACTTTTTACACTTACAATTAGAATTTATCAAAACACACAGATAGTTTCAGTTATAGTTCCATGTTGGCTTGGGACTAAAAGATGAATTTATAAAATGCTGGCCTCATCTCAACCCCGAGGTATCATAAAAAATGGAAAATTGCCCAGCTCTTTCAGACTATCCAATGTTCAAAGTTTCAACAAAACTAATATAGATTTTTTAAATTTATCTTGAAAATAAAATGTTCTGCACTGCTGCTTCTACGACCCTCTTTTTTCTAATGTTATAGTGAATGGAGTATAGGTTATAAAAACAACGTAAAAAACAATAACAAGGGACCAAGTAAATACAACGCAGTTGTACATCTGTTCTTTTAACCATTGGTCATTTACTTAACCTAGCTTCCAGTGATGGTTAAATTTTTTGACAAATGGTTGTAATTCTGACAATTGGTTACGCTAACTATTAATCAATAAAACATATTTTTCTGATATTTAACCATTTGTCAAAGATTTTAACAAATGGTTGAGTTAACCACGGATCAAAAAACTGGCCCTAAATTAAAGAAAACAATATAACAACAAACAGCATGCAATAAATTAAACTATTTGTAGGTACTTAGTTATGTTATTCAATTGAAGTGAAATAATATCTTTTAATTAAAAACTCATTTACAGAATAAAAAAAAATATCAACTAACAGTTTTAGTTCATCCGGTGTATTATTAATAAATATCTTTTTTGACATAAAATTTGAGTTTCTCTTATATTAGAAAATTCTAATAAATGGCAAATATAATTTGTTAATAATCTTGTGTTAAAATTTAAAAAACACGGTAGCGTCATCTAGCGAAAATAGCTAATTGTATCATTTTGATAACTCGCCAGATTAAGAATTCCTCATTAAATTTATAGATTAAATTAGAAATATCGCATTTTATTAGAAATATCGCAAAATTCCAAAGGAAAACTTCTTAGTTTGATAATAATCGGAAAAATAAAGATTACAAACATAACAAAAATAAAAATCCCGTTTTAAAAGTACAATAGCGTAATTTAGTTCTCAGTAGAGGCAGCTAAATATAATATTTTCATGTACTTAACCAAACCAATATAACATATGTATTTGATATTAGCGACAAAGAATGTTCAGATAAAAATTATTCATAACAATATTTAATCCTGCGTGAACAGCTTAAATTATTTGATAATGAATTTGGAATAGAATGACATGGAATATAATTAAAATGACATATAGAATTGTAAACAAAGTATACTATGGTAACAATTTAATGCCCTATACTAACTTCTACTTTCATTTCCATCCCTTTATGTGTTTTTTTCGGGGTTAGATATAAGATAGATATAGGCTGACATATGCTATTTCGTAACTTTATCCGTTAACGCAGCGCACGCATGGAAAGCTTTAAAAAAGTAAAATATTCTCCCTATTTTATAACGTGGTGTTATATAGGCTATATAGCCTTCCTCGATAAGTTGACTATTCAACACAAAAACAATAATTCAATTCGTTCCAGTAGATTTTAGAGTTCAATCAATCAAACATACTCTTCAGCATTATTATTAGTATATAGATAAACCATAACGTTAATCATCTATTAACCCGTCCAATAATATGTAAAAATCGATTTGGAAGTTTTGGCCTTTACAGGAAGACCAAGTAAAATAATCTATCACATATAAGTTTTACACAACATTATGTATTAATTATGGTTTTTATGTCAGGTGGGTGTGCGACGACCTCCCAGAGATGAAGGCGGCTCTGGAAAACAACATCCTATGCAACTACGACACCCACTCTTATGATAGTATGCGGGCTTTATGCGACAGATTCAATCGCGCCATAGATTCTGTTGTTGCCTTGGTAAGTAACAAAATAATTGTTTAAAATTAATACTAGTCGTTATCGTTTCCAATTATTTTTATGCCTTTAGAACAAAATATATTAATTTGCAACTTTTTACACTGCTGGGATACACGGAAGATTCCCTGTGACCAGAATCATACTGCCCTAAGCCACCATTCGAGCCTATTGTGGATTAGTGGGTGCTAATGAATGTAGACGCAGACAAGGCCAACTTATCATTTTCGAAATAATAAATTGGTCATCCAGCCGATGTAAAATTTGCTTACCCTCCGCAATAGTCTACCGAACATGGTAAACGCTACAATGAAAATTCAATTAATTTTTAATTATTTAATAATTGAAAAATGTTCCAAAAACGTTTTAAAATGTACGTATTCAGGTGTATGCATATATGTATAAAATATTTATTTCCACAAATTATATTGAATTGAATCAAATAGGTAGAATTGACTATTTATGAACCACCACGGCCCAGTGCGGGCTGGTGGGTACTGCAGATGTAGCCAGGAACAACGTCTTAACGTGCCTTTCGAAGCAAGGAGAGTTCGAGATAATTTTTTTTTTGGTCGCCCATCCTGTTACCGGCCATTGCGAATGTTGCTTAACAACTTAACGCAGACCGTACACGCCAACCGAGCTCCAAAAAAGACCAACATTGAAATTTTCCGCTTAAACTATCATGCGTTATTGTGTGCCATATTATGCATTCGAATATTGTTAAACACGATTTTATTCTAATTTACAACTTTTCAAAACCTTAAAGAGTCCACAATTTCTTTGGTAGGTATGACGTCAAACGCTTTAGATTTTGTTTAAAGTCACGTGACACGCAGCTCAAAAATAGGGATTTAATTTTACATAATTATACGTAATCTGTCTGACCCTAATTATAAAATACCATTTCATCATCATCATCAGTCCTTTTACGTCCCCACTGCAGGGGCTCAGACCTTTCTTATGGATGGTTCAGGAGGATGGGCCATGACCCTCCACGCGGGCTCAATGTGGATTGGAGGGTATTAACGACTGCAAATGCAGCCGGGACCAACGGCTTAACGTGCCTTCCGAAGCACGGAGTAGCTCGAGATAATAATTTTTTGGTCACCCATTCCGTGACCGACCCCTGCGAAAGTACGCCACCGAGCTAATCTAAATACCACTTATTCAGGACTAAATAAATAATTAATATTTTTAATTTATTATATATTTCATTTTTTAAATTGAGCCCTGTCAATTACCCTATTGCGCTTTTAAATTGACTTTGTATCTATTAATATAAATTTTGGTTTAATGTCAAATGAGAATCATTATTTTAAGATATTCCGAGTTTCAAATAAATGAATGTGATTGCTCTGTTAGCTCAATTACACTTGGCATAGTTTTCGCTTTGCGGAAACGTCGTCAATGTCACCTTGATCTCCATCTATTTATAGCTTTTCTACATAGTTTTAAGGTAATTGTGATATGTGTATAGGTTAGTAACAGTTAAAAATCATTTACCTAACGCTAGGTTCTTATATGAAAATAATTTTTATTAAAAAAATATCGGTCTTCCCCTATGTTTACATAATAATAATGTAAAGATGTAAGTTATTTTATTTTATCAAAATAAAACAAACTAAGATTCTGATGGATTATTAATTACAAATACGTAGTTAATAAGGCGCCGTTTTCTTACGGCCGGTTTCTGAATTGAAAAAGCACAAAATCTCAATTAATTATTCTCAATAACTAATTTTTTTACGTTTCATATGGCAAGAAGTCTTAGTTTTATCAAATAGCTATCAACTGATAATTAAAAAATCATAAATCAGTGATGAAAACATGTTTAAATGACGCTTAAAATGACTTAAGCACGGTTTGAGACGTGCTCAACTTCAAATTCTCAATTCAGAAACCGGGTGTTAGTCTGCTTGATTACAATTATGTATCCAACAAAGTTAATACGTACATAAAAGAATCACTAGTGCTAATATTAGATGTATGTACATTTGGGCAGTAAGGCAGTAAAAAAAGATTAGAATGATGTAGGAAGACCAGTGTTAATTTTACATCCCATATAATAAAAACACCTGGTAAGAGCAAGTGTGGCCTGTTCCAGATATATTTGTGAATATATAGAAAATAAAGTTAGTTTGTCCTTGTTTTTATTCCACGAACATGTGCAAATGCGAAACGATGCGGTGAATGTGGGGCAGTGAGGGGTAATAGCGGGGAGTGGGGCTTGAGCTGCAGGAGGGAGACACGAGGGCCAAGATGGCGGCGAGGACGCAACGATCGATGTCCACAGACAGACGCCTCGCGAGGCTATCTCTATTTATACACCTTGCATTCTATTTTTTGAGTGAACTTAAGAAATATACGGCAAATGAAGAATGTGTTAGCAAAATCCTAAAATGTTTGATCATGATTTCCATTGCTAAAGGTCCCTCAAGTTCGTTCGTGTTTAGTTTAACCCAATACGTCATATCAGATTAGACACATTTTTTCACATTTTTTTATAAGACAAAACTTCCAGATTGTCAGAATATGCGACTTCCAAGCTTTGTTTTGTCATCAAGGTACTTGCTAAATGGCTAATTGGTCATTTAATGATCTGAAATAACTTTATTAGCGCAGGTTTGGAAGTATGCCTTCTAGTAGTTTTCTTCACCACTGATCGTATAGCAAGTGTTTTAATCGAATTAAATATTTAATGCTTCTGCACAAATTGGCCGGGACCCTAGCCCTCGATTCGTGGTGACCCATTATTAAAATGGTTGCCCTCGTAACATTGAAAACAGAAGGTTGGTAGTGGTCATAATACTTGGTAAACTTTTATCTTTAGGATCATATTGGGAAGTATTAACTTCTTAATTTTTCGACTTTGCAAAAATAACTACTCGCTTATTATTGTTGTTGCCGACGACGAAGATAATAAAACATTTTCATAGTTTTTGTAAACTTTTTATATTTTCTTTTATAATATAGAATAAATATCGAAACCCACTGCTTTTTAATTGGAATTCTTATCATTTATCATACTTCAACGGAATATAATCATCATTCTCATAATTTCGCAGGGATCGTTTTTCACCATAATTTTGTCCGTCTCTTGTTCTCTTTTAATTGTTAAACTTGTTCTCTTCTATCTGGTTTTTTGAACTTTCTATTTGTGTGTTATTTGGGTCTTTCTTTTATTCCCTATCGTTTTAACGTTCTTATTCTAAATAAAAGCACAAACCTTGTTATTTTACTGTTTAAGCCAGCATATTTTCATATATTTTTTTAGCATTTGGAATAGATAAAAGCGGGATGAGCCAAATGTCAAAAAAAAAACATTCAACCCTACATACACACTCAACCGATGGTCCCGCAGTGCCTTGTCTTACTTCCGCTAATTCGCTGGAAGGAATTTCGGTCAATTGTGCATCGCCCGTAATATTTTGTAAAAAAAAGCCTTAAGAATTGTGCACTCAATGAAAATGGTCTATTTTTCTTGGAACATTTGTGGCTGTCTGTTCGTCTATTACAACCGATTTTCTCCGAAGCCATTTGCTTCCGCCATATTATATTTTTATATATATTAAGTATTAGGCCTAAATACTAATTAAACTTTTTTGGGTGGGTACGAGTAAATTGAAAATTAAAACAAAATGTTGCAAATGACATATATCAAATGAAAGGGATTATTGTGAGAATCTTAAAATATATTTCTATTCACTTAAAATACTTTATAAAAGGTTAATCGTCCCATTGAACTATAATGAGGTACCTCACACATGGTAAAATCGCGTTGAAACCGTCTTTCTGCTTCACGTAGTTGTAATTTTCATGGTGTATATTTTTATTCTCTTACCTCGCCGTGTTAGTTGGCATAGGTGACTTCTTGGTTTTTGATTCACGTATAGCTTGAATGACAATGCAATATTAGTATGGAAGTGAGCAGATTTGATGATGGAGCCAGAAGTTTTGATTCGAGATAATAGCCAGGATCTGATTTGATGGAACTGGAAAGTGGCCTAGGATCGTTTTTTCTCATTTGAACTCGTTTTTATGAGTTATTTTTTTTAATTAATAATTTTGAATTATTTTCATTGATTTAACACTTGATAATTGGTAAATTTAAAATATTACACAATGGTGTCTGTTTTGTTGTACCACTATCTAAACTATAAACTAAACTAGTTGTTTAATCAAAAGTATATTTTCACTTCTGTAATAATAAAATAAATTTACTTCTGTTATCTTCGTTATTTTCACAATTGATAACGTAATTTGACAGGACACAATCCAAATTTAGTCTAGTTCGTGTAGCGGATTTGCTACCAATATCATTTAATATATAGAAATGGTTTCCGTTACATTCACATCAGGGGAGAATTGTGCTAATGTTGTTTATTAAATGCGTAATAATTGTGAAGACAATGTATTGAATTGGTTTCAATAAATAAACCTATGAAGGTGTTTAATAGAAGTGCTGTGTGCTGCTAGGCCGATTGCGAGCAGTTGGTCGGGCCGGGTGTGGGGGCGATGACCGCAATATTGAGCGAACGCGAATGTCTCACGTAGTGTTAATGACCTTTTTTTGGCTGCGCCAGCGTTGATTCGTTTACGAACGTGAACTCTAGTAACTCAGCTAGGTGGTTAGGTACCGTGCTGTATGGTTTTCTTATCTATTGATATTAAAATTAGATTTTATTTACGTTGTAATGACCATTTTAGATGCCTGAACTCCCAGGTTATTAACTTCAAGCAATATTTAAAAACATTAGAAAATCTATGCGTATTTGCAAAATATCGTGTAAAAATAGAATTTCATTTATAGTAATCATCACTAGCCATATCTTGGTTTCGCACTGGTTACAATACATTTAAGCACCCAGTCGACATGATTGTTTTCGACATCTTAAACATTATAAAATAAGCAAATAAATATATCATGAGTTATTTCGTCGATGAAAATGTATAGTTTAGTATCTATATCTCTTTCAGATAGCTGCTGTGGGATAACTTTGTTTTTATATTTGGTAGTAGTGATGTATCTTCGTCTCTGGATTTCGTTGTTAGTCGTCGTCACGATTACGTCACAATCTAATATAGTACCTATGCGAGCAGAAATCACATGCGTTGACTACGTGAATGTATCGCTGTTAGTCATGAATGAATGAACGGTCTTTAACAGGTTTAATTGTACAAAAAATATACACTTCCAACCATTTTTGGTGTTTGGTTTTCAATTATTTGGTGCAGTATTCAATTGTGTTATGTTTACTTCAAAACATTATACTGATAAAGGATGTTATGCGGGGAAGGGGGACTTCATTTCATATTTTGTATTTATATAGTCACTTACATTTTTAATTTCTATTAAGTATTGATTATAATGTCTATTTATAGTTTTTATATCAATAAAAATATCACAGAGGTTTAAAATAATATCCCATTAAAGTACATATAATAAAAATCATACTCCGCACTGCTGACATCAATAACGGGTTATTGTATTACAATTTATAAAGCTGTAGTAGGTGAAGGGACAGTCGCTTTCTAATTTACATCGTAAAGATACTAAATGACGCAACCGGCAACATCGCTCTCCGTACAATGCACGGGCTATTTGGGCCCTATGAAAGTGGATTACGTCATAAGATTTCGTTCATAGTACCGTATCAAATAATTAAACAATGCAAAAGTAATCCTTAAAAAATTTAAATTCAAAATAGTTAAAACATAGTAATAAATTAAAGTCAGTGTCAAAAAAGCTTTGATTAAATAAATTAAAAGGAAGTTATTGCTATAGCATAAGAAAGTGTTTATTTGATTTCAGTGTGATATTAATTGAATGAACAGATTTATAATGATCAATTATAGTCATCCACTCCGTTGGGGCTCCTAAATAATATAAGTTAGTATTGTAGTTACTTAAAGGTTAATGGAACATACATAACTTATTGTGTTACCTTTTATGTGTTGTCTATCGAGGTTGATAATCGAGATATTTTTACGCACACTTTATTATGTAGGGGATGCACATAATATTTGTACACTGCCTTTGAAGGGCTCGTCGCTGAAAAATATATTGTTTGCTTACGTAATAGAAACTTATATCTGACCAAAATGTGTAATTGCTATTCTAGCCTGCTATTTCCGTATTCAATATTAGACTGATATATTGAATGAAATTCCAATGGAATGTAAACAAACAACGAATCTACTCTTCGAGGCCGCAGTCACTACCTCCCCTCCTCGGGAAGGTAGGTGGGCCAGCGACTACGCGCGTGCCGCAATCGTCCGCCCGTTTATAGAGGTCGTTATTGATTTTCCACTCCCTGCTAAATATAGAAGCTATACATTTCTAACCTTGGTACATACAGATTGCCTAGCAATAGGAATGTGTATATTGGTCTTCTTATAACAAACAAGCTATTTTCCTACGATTTCGCCCGCGAAAATGAAGCCTATGTCACCCGCGTATGATGTAGCCTACCGTAATTGAAAGAATTTTAAAAATCGGTCCAGTAGTTTCGGAGCTTATTCGATGCAAACAAACCATCAAATCTTTCGTCTTTGTAATATTTAGTATTGGTAGGATAAAATATTTTTAAGGGAATATCAACAAAATGGCCTGAGCGATATGGCAATTTATCCTTTTTAATTAATTTAAGTTCACGATAACTAACGGCATATCTATATCATATCCGTAGTGTGGCCTGCTAGTACTGAATGATGTCACCCGAATTTAAATACAATTTTGCTTACATATGAAAAATGCAAGAATGAAAATCTTCATCAAGCGTACATGTCCATTCAATAAATAAAGTTTTAAACATTAGCATTTTACAGATGAATATTGGGTATAATTGATTTAACAATACTAAGAACATCTTTTAATTAACCTATGCTATCATAGTTTGCAGTGAAGGTAATGCTCATATCACGTGTTTTTTATTTTACAAATCTCATTCATGGTTGGTGTCCACTATATTGTACCACTTATACTATAGTTTCTGTTTCATATAAAAGCTCGAGTCGTGATTGGATTCAAGGTCGTCGACATTGCTCTTAAATGACGCAAAGCCTGTATCGATCGTCCGTATCTCTACCCCGGCAATGTCAAGGTTGACTACCGAAACATGCAGTTCTTGCAATATCTAAGATGTCATAGTTTATCGGTTTTTACTTTTAAAATTAGTATTATTGTTTCTTTTACTATTACAGCTTTTTTTCTTGCCATTTGAGAAATTAGATTTTAAATCTCGTAGCTTGCTCTTGTATAAAAAGCTCTTAAATATACTTTTTGTTTATTTGCTCAAATGTTTTAACGATATGTTATTGATTAAATATTCGTACTGTTGTATTTGCACTAGAGAATAGCCCAGTGAAAAGATGAACATCAGTCGTTACATTTAATACACGATGTGGCGACAGTGCCCCAATTCGACTTTTAACTGAAGTCTAGATCGGTCGGTCATTCCACCTGACGAACTATTGTTTGCATAAGCTTCAAGTTAATTTTTATGTAGAGCATAGGTGGACATTATTTTATTTCAAAAAATCTTGACTATGGTTTTATACCTTCGATAAAATATGGTGTGCCATTTGAAACAATTCTGTGCTTTGGCAGTGTTTACTGCCTGTTCAATAGATAATTCAGTTGAGACGCTTTTTGAATTAGACGTCAAATAATAGTCTATATAGTTTTGAGAATAACATCACCATTTTAGTACTTATTTAAGTAGAGTCGCTCTTTCGGTTGTCGGAGATATGTCAATTTATATGGTTGTGAAATCGAATGCTTTACTGACATTGATACGAACTCTGTACATGATTGTTGATATTTTAAATACATAATTCAATACTTATCATATCAGTAGCATGGTCCGGGTCACTGGCTGGCACGTGACTTGGTAACACGTGACATAAAACGTAACTGACAGTTTACTGAATGAATATAAAAATACTGGAAGGGTGCAATTAAAATTGCAGAATATTTTACTACTTACTACCACTTATTTTTATTTTTAAAACTTTTATAAATGTGCTCGGTGCGCGAGTCTGTTTCTATAAGTCGTTTTTTTATTGAGATTTTCGATATTAGAGATATTCGGGAATCTAAAATAAAACCAAATCCGTAGATTAATGTATCAATAACCTTACGTTATAATTGAGAAGTATATGGGTGCTTCTGTGTAAACTGAGAAAGCTTTCCAAGATTTTTTTCTAATAATTATAACTTATTCTAATAATTGTAACAAAAAATATGTAGTGACTAAATATACCCTAAATAAGTTTATTTTAAGGTTCACCATCGTAATGATGACCTAAATCTACTATCCCGAACTCCTTTGTGCCTAACTACAACTGCAGTCGTTAATCACTACCAAAACGCACTCTGTTCGCGTGGTGACTTTTGATTCGTTCTTTGGAATTTGATGCTATCCTAGTGAAGTTTCGTTCCCCAATATTAGGGACATTATTAAGTTAATGAAGGCAAAAAGGTATTTTAATATTTAAAAAGTATTTTAATTATAATTTGGAACGTATTTTGTAATTTGCAGGAAAAAGGAACATCACTGCCAACTCAACGTTTAAATAAATATCCTTCAAGAGGATTACTCAAACACATTTTACAGCAGACATACAACCAAGCAGTTGCTGATCCTGATAAACTTAATCAATATGAACCTTTCTCGCCCGAGGTTTGTATTAAAGATATCTAAATACAATTGTTTTGATTATTACAGTTTTATCGTTATAATAATTTTCATCGGCTTATTTATTTATTTTATTAACACTAACCAAAAAAACACAATTTAAAACTACTTTGAACAATATAATATAACATACAACACACGACACACATTCTCATTAAAATAAACAGACGCAAATTGTTCAAAGTTGTTTTAATTCGAATGTAATGTTAGATTAATTGAGGTTTTAATGTTCTAGGTGTATGGGGAGACGTCGTTTGAGTTAGTATGTCAAATGATAGACCAAATAGACATCACGGCAGAAGATGTTTTCGTAGACTTGGGTTCAGGTGTAGGTCAAGTAGTGCTGCAGATGGCGGCAGCGACTCCGTGTCGCATATGTTTTGGTGTAGAAAAGGCTGAAGTTCCTAGCAAGTATGCGGAAGTATGTATCACTGTTTTAAATTTTATTAAAACTATATCATACCAATGGTTTCTTTCAAAACCATCAATTTTATTTACAGAATATGGATTTAAATTTTCGGATGTGGATGCGTTGGTATGGGAAGAAGTATGGAGAATATAAATTAATAAAGGGTGATTTTCTGATGGATGAACATAGAGAGAAAATTAATGCAGCTACAATTGTGTTTGTAAATAACTTTGCATTTGGCCCTAATGTTGATCATCAGTTAAAGGAAAGGTTCGCCGACTTGAAAGACGGAGCAAAGATAGTATCGTCAAAAAGTTTTTGTCCCTTAAACTTCAGGATAACGGATAGAAATTTAAGTGACATTGGGACCATCATGCATGTCAGCGAGATGTCTCCGCTGAAAGGATCTGTCTCATGGACGGGGAAGCCAGTATCTTACTATTTACATATTATAGATAGGACCAAATTGGAGAGATATTTCCAAAGACTGAAAAATCCGAAACTCAAGGTCAGCAAAAGGGTCTGTTTCCAATCACGTCATCTTTCTATATATACTAGATATATATATATATTTGGAGCAGTAGAGAATTTCTACTTTTCTATTGCTCTTAGAATATTATATAGAAAACAATTGTTTTATATAATTACCAATAACTTTAATATGTTTTCATTAAATATAAATATATGTACAATATTATTGGCAATCATATTTATTACATAAGTATTTATATCTATGTAATATAATTATTGTTTAAAGTTTTCTAATAATTTATGAGTATTATGTTCAGAACATATTTACAGATTAGTATTTTATAAATTTTGTATTATTATTTATACGTAAATGTAAAACGTTAATTCACACCATTGGAGTAATTTTACCTTGATTACGGGTGACAACTGTTTGTGCATGTGCTGACGTCAACTTTATAAAAAGGCGATATTTTAATACTTAATTTCTTTAACGTAGGGTTCGCATAATGGTTGCGAAGAAGGTGAGAGCAGTAAACGAAATTTTAGCGCTCCACCAACCAGGCAACCTACTCCAGACTTGCTCAATGGGAACAGCAATCATAGCACTGGTTCTCTGCCAGAACGTAGAAGAAAAGTAGCACGAGCGCGACCTATTCGGTAAATAAAGACTATTTACTACCAATACAGTATTTGTTTCACAGATTCATGGTAAATAGAGTGACGTCTTTATTTGAATAACAATTTTAACATTTCTATTAAAATTGTAGCGTTCCTATCTACTTAAGTTGCAGTCGTGATCGTGATTATCTGTCCGGCTCACGAATCGATCGTGTAAATTTGCATTCCTTTTGAAATAATATCTGAAATACTACATCTCAATTTTGTCAAGTATATTGATTAAGTTAATTGATTTGTAGAGGTGACAATGGTCGCACTCGTGCACGTGCGGCTGTGGCCAAGAGGCGTGCCGCTCGACAGTCCACTGACGAAGAAACAGAGGAAGAGTCGAGTGGCACTGACGATGCACCTCCTGGCCCGGAACCGGCACCGCGCGAGTGGGGAGCGCCTTGGGCGTCCTCGTCGGATTCCAGTTAGCTTTTATTATTATTTTATAAGCGAATAATAATCTACGTAATAGTATGTATTGCTTTTAAAGAGGGGTACTCTTTCTCTCTGACTCATAATGCTGAGTGCAGGTCTTGCGCTTTCCTCATAGTTATTGATTTGCATGGGTGTTTGTTAGTGGGATATTTATCTGTATGTAAGCTGTGGGGCTGGATACGGCGGGCTCCTTGCCGGATCCCGGGTTCTTCTCTCATTTGCGTTTCCCCTGTCTTTTAAATGAAAAGGTGTATATAAGCCCTATCAATATGGATACAGACTTCATTAGTTATTAGTCTATTTAAAGTGTTTGAGGAACGAATATTCATATAATTAAGTTTACATGTGCCGGCTGAGATTTGTGATTGCATCACCAATAAAGGTTCCTGCTTCGTTACTGCTCTGTTTTGCTAAAGCTCCTATAAGGGTATTTTCTTAACTAAATCGGCGACTTGTATCATGATCGTAGATCGCAGCAGGCGTTCGACTAGCAAACGCAGCGCGAGCGCCGGCGGTGTACGGCGGCGGGCCGCTCGTGCTAAACGGCGTCGCGCTGCACCCGCCGCAATCGCTGGTCTAGATCTGCTGCACTCAACAACACTAGCATCGACTGTAAGGAACGGCGCCGTGAGTACCCGATACATGCGCGTGGACGCATTCGTCACGATATTTACTTGTGTGCTAAAAACAATGTCATTTTATTATTATACACGTCATACCCGTAATTTATTGCATTTTAAAACGGCGTCAACTTTATTGTGGTAGCGTTACTTATAATACAACCACAAAGGGTGCGAAGAAATAAAAAATAGTTATCTCCCTATTGGAATCATACAGCATGCCTATGGTTAGAACGAGTCAAATGTACTTGCTTTTCTTTGCGTGTCAACTCCAATCTCCCATACGGTGATTTGCATAAACGTCCATTAAAATTTAATGACGCCTTTAAGCTCTAATGAATTTCAAATTTGTATGGGTCATGTCGCTTTAAACTAATGACAATTTTAATGGATGTTTGTCCAACTGGCTGTTAGTCGTAGAACACGATGCACGAAAAAATGGACGCGTTCAATGACTAAATAAAAAATAACAAGTACAGTTCTTACGCACGAAATGATATCTTTTTTGCTTTTCTCATTGTTAATGTGTAATTTGTGCATTATTTAAACAGACAGGAAAGCTTTTTTTCTACAACTTTTCACAGAAAATTACAAGTGAAAATGACATTAGCCACAATGCTTGCTGAAACCTGACTAAAGTGAAACTCGGGCAATTAATTAATTGCCTTGCTTTCTTGTTGTCAATGTTGAGCGCTGATAACCCATCTAAACTTTTTAATCCATCATTGGCTTAAAACAGATACTTTTACATGCCGCCTTGGTTTTTATGTCTATATTTCAATATGAACATGACGTTTGTTAGGTGACGGCTCCACCTCCGGGTTGTGTGGAACAACGGCTGTCAGCGTTAGGTGTTCAACTGCAGCCGGCGGACAGATTACACTCGGAACTAGACATCCCGCGCTCTCCGCATACACCATATAGTCTACAACTGCTACTCGATATGTTCCGCGACCAGTATCTCGCCTTCATACATCGCATGAACACACCCGAGTACGCCATAGACATACGCCAGCAGATTGATAAGGAGAAGGTCAGTTATATTATACCACTATCTTAAAAGTTGTGCACGACTGTAACTGTTGCTTAAATTAATCCGTTAGTTATAATGTGTACCCATACATTGAGCGCTTTCAATCGCGCTTTGTTAACGCGCGTTTTGAGTACCAGGGCCCCTTTTAAACTGTACAAAATCAAGCTCATGCTTTTGGTCAAACGCGCGTTTGGGCGTCTGCTGCGTGCTTCAAGATAGACGAGCCGCCACTTTGTTGTATATTCGAACGCGCGCTTTCGTGTAGAGTAGACGCACATGGCCGCAAAATGAAGACCGAACATTTCGATACTGATTTCTTAATATATGAAATCCAAAAGCGACCAGCTATTTGGGATACGGAAAATGCCGATTATAAAAATAAAACGCTAAAAAAAGTAATTGGGAGGAGATGGTAGAAATTTTTTGTAACTCAGAAGATAGTTTGGAGAAAAAAAAAATGTTGGGTGAGTAATTATTTGTTTAAGTTTTTTTTGACAACAATGTAGTTATAACACTATATCATATTGTCTTGTCAGGGTAGCTTTCTTTGGTTTACAACATAATATGTAAATTTGTTTCTAGCAGTCCTAGCAGTCAAACTGCCACGTGATAAATATTCTGGACTTATAGATTGTAAAGGTGAAAGATGAAGTGTGTCTTCATATCTGTAACTATCGCGTGTACGCACGTAATGAGGTAGTACAATGCATGCTTTGATAATATTTTCCGCGAACTCAATATTTATATCTATAGGTCTCTAAAATATACGCCATTTGTTGCTCAATATTCCGAAAGTTCATTCGATAAAGCGCCTCCCTCACGGTAATCTGTAATTGAATACTTTTTGTGTGTGTGAGTTGCTTTCCACTATAAGGGCGCATCATATTTGACATAATTCCAAATGTTTCATCGCCTACAAACACATGAGGCAGTGGCGTTTTATTGATAATACATATTGGCTTCGGGTTAGGAATATTTAACTTATCAACCATCATTCTTTTAAAGAAATCTATATAAATATTAATAAATTATTATTATTATTATCTCAAGATATTTCTCATCAATGGCGCCAATAGAGTTTGGGTAGTTGGCGTATTTCATAAAACCTTCTTCAACTTCCTTCCATTTTTCTGTAGTTATTTCAGGCATGCACATAATTTCAAGCTGCTCAACAAAACTTTACTAACTTGTTCCACTATTTTAATTAGAGTATATTTTCCAAGACGATATCGATAGTGTAAATCGGCGAACGAACAACCTGTGGTCAAGTATCTGTCAATATATAAATAACATTTTAATATTAATTTTCAGGTGCTACACTAATGAAAAAATGGAAAAGTATTCGGGACATTTACATGAGGGAGTCTAAACGTCAAAAAAATCTTCCATCTGGATAATAATACACAAATAAATTAAAATTTCTAGATAATTCAATAGTAAACAAAGATACAGAAAGTAATAATGACACTTCTAATGTAACGGATTCCGATATAAACAATGAAGATTTGATGCCACCTTCAAAGGAAAAACTTAAAGTGGCAAAGAAAAGGCAAAAATTAAATGCTGTTGATAAACAACAGTTGATATTTTACAAAAAAGTTTAACACAAGACAACGAATTGAAGCAGAAGCAGTAACTATAGAAGATGATGATAAATTATTATGCATATCATTATACACTGAGCTAAAAAAAGTACCCGAGAATCGACGACTATCAGCAAAAATAGAATTGCTCAATGTCATACAAAAGACACAGCATCAATTATTGCCACTACAAACAAATCGTTATCAATATGCAAATTATCCTGGATATACCACTGCTAAACCTTCAACATCATCACATTAATGGTCCACCACGCCGCAACGGCCACCACAAATGTCTTCATGGGTTCCGTCACCTTCCAGCCTAGATTTATTTTAATAAATAAATAATAAAAGTATTTGCCTTAATGTTATGACGAGTTTTACTTCTAGAGAATTTGAGTCTTAATATTGTTGATTCACCTGTTATATCGGCTTTTATGATACACAATAATTCTTCAAATGATTGTATGGTAATTCTAAAATAATTGATAAATTTAGGCCCGTGTTGTCTTAACTTTGGACATAATGTAACAAACATTCCATGCGGCAGTTTATCGCATAGTATTGGATGCACACAATATTCTCTTTGCCTTTGTCGTCGTTGTTTATAGCGACGGTAAGAAGCCACACAAGTAATCACTTCGACATCTATTTTCGAACTGAGCCAGAAATACACACCCTATTCACGCTCGCCTAACGCCGTGCTAAACGCGGTGTGTGTACGTTATCAAAGCGCGTTCAACGCAACAGTGAACACCCAGTGTGTACCCGCTCTAAAGAGGAAGCTGATAGGTTAAATGGGGGGTAGAACTAAAACAAAGATTAAAATATTTTAACCAAGCTCTAAGGTTTATTTTCTCAGTAAGTTTATTTCAAACGGTGTAATCAATTCTAATCACTGTGATGTAATAGCATTATTAGAATATATGCAATATTTGATGTTCATAAATTATTTTAATTACAGGAAAGAAATCAAAAACTGAAATCGAGAGCTTCACAGTTAGATAAACAGATAAACGTGTTAATAAGCGACAGCGTTGCATTATTAAAGGCACGTATGAGTGAATTAGGTATACATGCCAATAATACAGTTGACTTGCTCGCTAAAGCTAAAGAAATAGTAGGAAGGCATAAGGAATTGCAGAGTAAAGCAAGCAAACTTCAAGCCCAGGTAAATAGTGTAGTAATAGTTGCTATTAAAACATTTTTTACTTTTTAATGATTTCTGAAAATGTAAGGAAAAAATGTTATCACAAGAAAGAATATTTATGCACAGTCTTGCATTCATACTTAACGACCTGTGCGGACTATATACATATTTTGCTACGGCACTATAGTATCTGTTGTGTATACAGAGTAGCGTCAATTAACTTCACCTAAGTCTAGGTTGTACACCATACAAATAAAATATATGGCATACAAGCTTTTGAATCCGTTATTATCTTAGAGGAGGGAAACATACCTTAGGGACTATAGTAAAAATTTTGTTTTTCATGTTTTCAGGTCAACAGCATAGAAGCTGAACAAGCTATATTGGTAAAACAGAGGACGTTTGAAATAACTGAAAAGTATAGACAGCTGGGTCATATACCACCCGATGTGGAAATCACACAAAGTATAGCTCACGACTGCATATTGAAGGAGATATCTGCAACACTAGCGCACAGAAAAAGATTACATGCGCAAGTTGGTCACTTGCAAAATGAGATCATGCAAATGGAAAGAGCGTCCGAGCAGCAAAAAGTGGTACCAACTGGAGTCCCGGTAGCAACAGTGAAACCGCACACTGTAAACTCTAAGCCGAGGAAATCAAGGGAACACCGATCACGATCACAAGAGTGGCCGGATGTGCCCGACGTGGGGAAGATAGAGGAGCAAAACCCAGAGATCCTCGCCCAAAAAATACTGGAGACCGGACGCCAGATCGAGGCTGGAAAGATATCGAAGCCCAATGTCATCGTGAATGGCTACGTGCGTGAGGTGGACCATAGGCCGAAAGCGACTCCAGTGCACCGTACGCCGCCCCAGCCGCAGGCGCGCGGGCCTCAGCCACCACCTCTAGCCCATCGTCACTCGCCGGTTAAACCTCAGAAGCCGCTAAATGTAGTATCGAAAGTTCAGGAGTCTCCGAAGGTTATCAACTTCGAGGACAGGCTCAAGAGTATTATAACGTCAGTGTTGAATGAGGACCAGGAACAGCGGAAGGCGGCGCGGCAAACGACGCCTGCGCACCCGTATACGCACACGAACGGGTACGTTCGGCCGTCATCAGCGGCGGGCGCCTATCAGCGGGGAACTACGGGGACATCGCAGGCCACCCACCCGCCATACGCTCGAGTGGGGGCTAATACCTCCACTAGGGAGTACCGTCGCGATCGATATCCGTACGAGCGTCGAGAACCACCCCGCTTGCCCAATACGCATCTTGACCGCTCCGACATGAGACATCACCACGCCAATCAACCGGATTACACTCAGGTGAGTTTAGTGTTTCATTTATGTAGATTGAAGTTCAGTTGTGACAATGCCTAAATATCAAGTTCCAACTAAATTGGCGCATGGTGAATTTTCAAATCCAGAGAATTACCTAATTAAAAAATCAAATTTATAATTAGTTTTGTTTCAATATCTATAAGATGTAAATTTCAAAGCATTACTTGACCGTTTTACTCACACTCGGCAGCTACTTGAATCATTCTGATTAGCGAACACATGCCGCGCTACGAAATTTAGCCTTCTGCGCAGGTACATCAGTGAACCACATACATTGTATCATAGTGTAGCAATCTCATAAATAATTATGTTGACCAATGCAGCTTAAAACAATATACTATATTGTTTTGTAGGTTGAGATTTCTATGCCATTGAAAAATTATTTTATTTAGAATCCGCGAAAATATGAACTAAAGGTGGAGGATAGGTTGTCTTGCATGAAGATAAATGATAATGAACAAACGAGCCGCCGGCCGGCAGGTATCTCCGGCTAAATTGGCGCTGCGTCGGCATCTATCACAGGAGCGGTTGGCTGCACCGGCGCGCACCATCGGTGACCTCGTCAACGGTGAGATCGAGCGCACTCTCGAGATCTCCAACCAGAGCATCATCAACGCAACCGTCAACATGAGTGCGCGCTACCACGAGCCGGCCGCTTCCCATCAGCCGCTCGAAGGTAAATAAACAATATTATTGCATATCGCACGTTGAGAACGATAGTGACACAATGCAAAAAATGCGATTTTGAGTAATGAGCGTTTAAAGTTCAAGAAATTGTTATCCGCTCCTCTAAACAACGTATCGTCACTACGCCACCTAGCAGTTTCTATGCAAGCTACGTTCACGGGGATCTTTGCATTTTAAAGTTTATAGGTACCAAAGAAAAATGTTGCCAAAAGCAAAAAATACGTCATTTTTGGTTAGTGACATTGTCATTCTCAACGTGCGGTA